GGTAAAGTGGGAGTAGGGGGAAACGGGGGGGAGTTGGGGGTTAAAGGGGGGGAGTCGGGGGTAAAGTGGGGAGTCGGGGGTAAAGGGGGGAGTCGGGGGTTAAAGGGGAAGAGCCGGGGGGTAAAGGGGGGAGTTGGGGTAAGGGGGGGGGGGGAGTCGAGGGGGGATTCGGGGGTAAAGGGGGGAGGCAGGGTTAAAGTAGGGAATCGGGGGTTAAGGGGGGAGTCGGGGTTAAAGGGAAGAGCCGGGGTTAAAGGGAAGAGCCGGGGTTAAAGCACTAAAAAGGACAATATGAATATTGATACAAACATTTGGTTCGAATAGGGCATGGTAAATCCCCCATGGTAGTCCTAAGCCTCAGACCCATCTCCGTCAGTTTACAAAGGAAGCATTCATTTTAATACCATATAACGAATACTTCGTGTGAAAATCATTTGTTGCTAGTGAATCAAGGATGTGATAACTTTCAGATATTTGAACAGTCACGCATAGCTAACAAAATGTTGGAGGTTATATCATATTACGTATCAAACTGTGTCTCTGTGTGAGTGGCACTGTCAATTCGTGTAGAACCCCCCCCCCCAAGTTGATGAAAAAGCACTAAGCATATAAAACCGTGAGACAAGAGGATGCCCCTGCCTCAAGCCCGCAATGATCTCAGTGGTGGAAATGTTGGACACGGGGAGGGTCGACTTTCAAATGACATTGACGCTATGTAGATGAGAGCGGGGATTTGTGCTCCGTGGAACATCTCTGGCCGCTGAAGTTAGACGGTGCTGCGAGGTGAAGCTGCTCCGTTTTCGCTGCGTTGTTTCCCCGCTCTGCTCTGCTCTGCTCTCTCCTTCAGCACCACCAAGCTAACGGACAGCACCACTCATACCTGCTTCCTGCAAACTCACCTTTCCCCTCCGGATCATAGTTTGGTTTTGCTTCTCTATCTTTCAAATGGAAAATATTTTATTTGGTCTGCTCCGGGAGAATCTGTAAGGACACTACTTTTAGATGAACGCACGGATACTATACCATCGCCCACAATTCAGTCTGGCATTGCAGTTTGATTGTAAGTACCGTTTTTACTTTTAACAGTGAGCGAAAACTTCAGCGCAATGATCAGAACATTGGACAAAACCGAGTGAACCCGTTTGGGGATAAGGAGTTGCGCCTCGGTGGGAAAAAACGGGATTTCAGATGTTGCGCACGGAGTAGCCTAGTCTATTGGATTGGGATACATCGCAACTGTGATATTTTACCAAAACAATGCATGCCACTAGAAAGACGGTGATCAGTCGCTTCATCAGGGCAGATTCCAGGCATAAAGCCACATAAGCGGTTGCTTAGGGCCCCCGACTCCCATCCTTCCCCAAAAACGTACTGTTGAGAGGAAGAATAGTAGACTACACCAGGTGCGATCAGCAGTTTTTTTTATCGTGTTATGTCAATCAGTAGCAATGTTTCCATTAACTTGTCCACTGATTTTGTTTTCGACATTTAGAAAGATCTGACAATTGCCTGCTATGGGTGCGTTTCCATGTAACTATCTTGTGTCGATAAAAAAAAAACAGCTGGACGTAATGACGTCACACTGATAAAAACAATTTTAAATAAAAACCTACAATGTCGAATAAAAAAGGAAGTGGCAAATGAATGTCTCAGGTAGCCTGCAAAAGCCAACATGGCAAATTGACTAATTTTTGCCATGTAATAATTCCCATGTGCCAACATATCGCCATGATCCGTGCCATGGTGAAACTTGCACTCCTGTAGATCTGATATTATTGGATGGTGAAACTTGCCAGGCAATCAGAAAAGCAAGGAAAAGCAATTCAGACATTCTTGAAAGTGAGGACAATCCTTCTCCTGCAAACAAATATTATTTTTTATAGTTGCATTTTTTCTTTTAATTTTGCAAGCATTTAGAATTAAATGTGTAGTGGAGCTTTTGTAGTTATCTTAAAAATTATTCGGGAATCGTCATTTATTCTGAAAAAAAAAAATACTTTTACATCATGAATAAAGAAAGTTAGACAAAATAAAAATCAACCCCGGTTGAATGGATAGAAATGTTGTCAATCTTTTTTTTTTGCGATATTGCTTTTGTCGAATAAACCTGGGTCAATGGAAACCTGCCTACTGACAGTCACTCAAGTAGCCAGCTATCTAAACTTGTAGTAATCATGGCCGAATACCGACCGGGCACCCAGGGGCCCTGACCTCCAGGGGTCCCAATTTATTTTGTTAGTCATTCTCTAACATGGCATAAGTCATTACAAAATTTGTAGAATTCCATGAAATTTGTTATAAAATTGCAGTTTCCACTCCGCCCCATGGCAAAATGTGTAGAACTGCAGAAAACCTGCTTTAAAACTTCAACATTTTATTTACACCCCATCACAAAATGTGTAGAGTCGCAGGAACTTTAAAACTTTAAAACTAAAACATTTCTCTCCATAGCCAAGACTGCCCCCCCCCCCAACCAAAATCTCGGTTAGCCCCAAAAGGCTGCACATCATTTTACACTTGATTCGTTTTTGAAGTTCCATAATTCATGGTATATCATCCGCAAATGAAGTGTATGAGAGAGAATAAAACCTAAAGCTTGGTGCTTACAGGGTCCTTTTGTTTGACTTCTCTTTCTCCATGCCGTCTCATCTCATAAATATCAAATAGCTGAGGGGAAAAAACGGGGGATTTGCCCCCCCTTTGTACTACAGCAATAGAGGCACGGTACTATTTAAAAAATAAATGCAGAAAAATACCAAAAGCATGACCTTTGCCAAGCCAATATATCCCAAATTACGCACATTGCGTTTTGAACATAAAAAAATAAAAAAGATCAACCAATTTACTGTCTTCTGAGATGTATTATGAATAATTAAAGAAAAACGAGGCCTATATTAAAAAATATTTAACGTTGAACGTGCTTCTACATCTGCATTGCTTGCTCTTTTGGGTTTTAGGCTGGGTTTCTGTAAAGCACTTTGTGATATCTGCTGATGTAAAAATGGATTTATAAAATACATTTGATTGATTGAATAATTAACAGTAATTTCTAATAATGTGTGGTAATATTTAAACTTTCCATTTGTCCTTTATTTGTGTGCATAAGCCATAGCGTGTTAATGAATGTTATTTCAATTTTTTATTTTTTATTAATGGTTGCGTTGTACCAGCAATTAACCCTCCAAATGCTGATCGCCCTCTGCTCTTAACAATGTTAAAGGACCTGTCGGCTGAATGTGTGGAGACTTTGAGAGTAACAATGCTGTAAATCAAAGGTCCATTGCTATAAAACATCTATTGTCCCCAGCGCCACTCACTGAAAACACTTCAATTTGGTTCTTTCCCATGGTAAATCAATATTTAGTAAACAATTAGGGTCCAATTATTATTTTAATTACCTATTCGGTAACATTATTCTCTTGCGCTTTTTGTTTCCAGGTTCGCTTTCCCAACTGGCTCGGTGTTCCCGCTCCTTCTACTGATTTCCTGCCCATCTAACCGTCCCTTGTCTGGGTAAAGAACCGCGAAGCTGCTGTCTACGTGGACCGGTGGGGTTAACATCTTCCGTCCGCCTGCCAGCCTTGCCAGAAAATCTAAACAGAGAGACAGAGACATGGCGACGAATGGTACCAGAGCCTCGGATGGACACGTTCTAACGGAGGTGAATGCGGAGCCTAACGACAAACCCAAAACCTTGGTCGTCAAAGTTCAGAAAAAGGAACTTCCCGAAAGAGAAACTGGACTGGAAAATTTGACTTTCTCCTGTCTTGCGTCGGGTACGCAATTGGACTCGGAAATGTCTGGAGATTTCCTTATCTATGTGGGAAGAACGGAGGAGGTAATCAAGATGTTGGCACTTTTCCGTGTTTTCAAAAACAAAAGGAGGCAAAAAACTTAAATAATCTCAATTGCTCCTTTTCTCTCCCGACTGTGCGTAATGACTCGCACATTTGTGGGCAACGCTCCGATATCATTCATTTGAGGCGCTGTAGTGTGAAACAAAATATTGGGTTTATCACTGTATCTCTTTAGATTATTTGAAATGTTAATGGTGTATCAATGCAATGGCTCACTTTTATTCACGATTATATTTTTGCTTACTTACCTTTTATCTTCTGTTCAGGGGCCTTCTTGATTCCCTACTTTTTGACGCTCATATTTGCTGGCATGCCCCTGTTTCTGCTCGAAACGTCCCTCGGTCAGTACACGTCGATTGGAGGGCTTGGGGTGTGGAAACTGGCTCCCATGTTCAAAGGTAAATCAAAACCCCGTGTTTAGGTTCACCTGAAATACATCACGTTATATAAGACAAATAGCTGACCTCAAATACTCTTCTTGCTGGTTGACCATAAACGCAATTTGTATTTCTGTGCATGTCTCCAGTCCCGATAGTTTTACAGATCAAACTTCATATTTAGCTAATGCTTTTATATATATATATATTTTTCCAATTATTTCATTTTGTATTAAATGACAGTATATAAATACCTAATTCCTAATCTCCCTGTTCTAGGTGTTGGTCTGGCCGCTGCAGTGCTTTCTTTCTGGCTAAACATCTACTATATAGTTATCATTGCCTGGGCCATTTACTATCTGTGGTCCTCCTTTACTAGTGTGAGTATGATAAAATCAAGTTTAAAAAAAAAGATGAATGAATTCATTGAAGGTTTCAAAAAGGAAAACACATTTCCCAAATGGAATATCTTTAAGTGACATGACATTGAAAATGTTGGGGCCATTTTGACCATTTGTATCCTGAAAATAAAGAAATACAATTTCTTGTGTGCATAGTTAATTCCAAAGATATTGAATTTGGCCATCAGCACCCCTTCAACAAATTAGGTTGCATGACGCTTGAAAGAGATTGGCAAAATGACAAGAGAGAGAGAGAGAGAGAGAAAAAAAAAGCTTTCTTTTGTTTTTCCAGGAGCTACCATGGCAATCATGTGGAAATTCTTGGAACACAGAACGCTGTTACACCAACTACAGCATATTGAACGCTGCCAACCTCACCAGCGCCGTTCAGGAATTCTGGGAGTAAGAACAAGTCGTTTTATTTCAATTTTTTATTTTGATATGCATGGTATTTTGGCTGTGGTTGGACCATGCAGTGTTACTGGTGTAAAACAATGAGTCATGGGGTTGAAAAATAATTCATGAATACATTTCATTGACTGGTAGATTGGTTGATTGATTGATTGTGTTGTCCTATAGACGTAACATGCACCAGTTGACAGACGGTCTGGAGAAGCCTGGGGAGATCAGAGCGCCTCTGGCCATCACGCTGGCCATCGCCTGGGTCCTCGTCTATTTCTGTATCTGGAAAGGTGTCGCCTGGACCGGGAAGGTAGGAGGCTGCCACCGACTAAATTGATAGGGTAGGGGCTTAAGATGCTAAATCCACTTGGGAATCTTGACATTCGATTTTGTCTGCCATATTGGATTTTGGAGGATAATCCAACATGCCCCCCCCCCCCCTGGTTTATTTGCAAACGTAGGAGGCATGGCTACAGATTCAAAATCCATAGAGAGACCTTTGACTGGAAAAAAATTACAGTTGATCTGTGCCTGGGCCCTGTCTCTAATAACGAGTATTAAGTAGTTAAATGCATCTGTTAAAGGTCAACTGCCCCTTACAACCAACTTGTCTGGTTTTTAACGGCCTATGTGGCATCGATATGAGTCAGAAACATTAACAGAAACATGAATAAAAGCCAGTGACTTCAAAGTGTAAATAGGATAATTTTGGTCATAAAGTCGGTCTTGTCCAAAACTGAATTTTGTAAGTGAGTTCATCACGACTTATTGGAGGGTAGGGTAGGGAGTACGATCATGCACACTTGCCCAGTGTCCACTGACACGAGAGAAGCAGTGCTGATTTGCGCTCTATCAACTGGTTGCGCGCTATCCAATCATAGAAGCCAGAACCTCCAGAAAGTGAGACAGACCTGCCCAGTACGCAGCGCCTCAGACTTTTACAAAAGACAACACGTCACCAATGTTATGTTGAAATAACCCTAGGCCCTAAGCCCTTTATGGACTGATCACTCGCTGATGTGTTTGACAGTGTCAATCACTCAAGTCTGCAACTATTTTTTTGGGGGGGGGCAAAATGAGAATTGAGACGATCAGAGAGAGCACTTGTATCCCAACTGCAACTTGTTTTGTAATATGATTCCCTATTAAACACTACCAGACAGACACACACTCTGGTAATTGATAGTGAGAAAGTTGTAAAAACGCACACAAGTCGCCACTCGCCAGTGACTTGATAAGCTGATTGTGGCCTGGCTGCTCAATGTGCCTGCTAGCTGCTGACTATTTTAAAGAAGTGACTATTTTGAGGAAGTGGCTATGTTGTTGCTACGTTGAATCAGGAGGGACAAACAACAGTACCTGCCATGGGTACGATATGCGAACATAATCCACCCACCCACATCAAACCAAACCCCCAAGACAACTCTAGTTTGGCTTCAGTCATGGCAGTTAAATGACCAAATCTCACTCTAGTGGCCTCATGGGTGGAATGTTATTAATATATTTCATTATTTCATAATTAATCCACTTTTTTTTCTCAACTTTGAAAATCTGGTGTTTCTACAGTGGCTTGCGAAAGTATTCACCCACCTTGGCATTTTTCCTATTTTGTTGCCTTACAACCTGGAATTAAAATGGATTTTTTTGGGGGGGCTTGTATCATTTGATTTACACAACATGCCTACTTTGAAGATGCAACATTTATTTTTTATTGTGAAACAAACAAGAAATAAGACATAAAAACAGAAAACTTGAGCGTGCATAACTATTCTAAACCCCCCCCCCCCCCCCACAAAGCCAAAACTTTGTAGAGCCACCTTTTGCCGTAATTACAGCTGCAAGTCTCTTGGGGTATGTCTCTATAAGCTTGGCACATCTAGCCACTGGGATTTTTGCCTATTCTTCAAGGCAAAACTGCTCCAGCTCCTTCAAGTTGGATGGGTTCTACTGGTGTACAGCAATCTTTAAGTCATACCACAGATTCACAATTGGATTGAGGTCTGGGCTTTGACTAGGCCCTTCCAAGACATTTAAATGTTTCCCCTTAAACCACTAAAGTGTTACTTTAGCAGTATGCTTAGGGTCATTGTCCTGCTGGAAGGTGAACCTCCGTCCCAGTCTCAAATCTCTGGAAGACTGAAACAGGTTTCCCTCAAGAATTTCCCTGTATTTAGTGCAATCCATCATTCCTTCAATTCTGACCAGTTTCCCAGTCCCTGCCGATGAAAAACATTACATTTACATTTTAGTCATTTAGCAGACGCTCTTATCCAGAGCGACTTACAGTTAGTGAATACATGTTTTATTTAATTTTTTATACTGGCCCCCCGTGGGAATCGAACCCACAACCATGGCGTTGCAAACGCCATGCTCTATCAACTGAGCTACATCCCTGCTGGCCATTCCTTCCCCTACCCTGGATGACGCTGGGCCAATTGTGCGCCGCCCATGAGTCTCCCGGTCGCGGCCGGCTGCGACAGAGCCTGGATTCGAACCAGGATCTCTAGTGGCACAGTTAGCACTGCGATGCAGTGCCTTAGACCACTGCGCCACTCAGGACACCACAGCATGATGCTGCCACCACCATGCTTCACTGTGGGGATTGTGTTCTCGGGGTGATGAGAGGTATTGGGTTTGAGCCAGACATAGCGGTTTCCTTGATGGCCAAAAAGCTCAATTTTAGTCTCATCTGACCAGAGTACCTTCTTCAATATGTTTGGGGAGTCTCCCACATGGCTTTTGGCCAACACCAAACGTGTTTGCTTATTTATTTCTTTAAGCAATGGCTTTTTTCTGGCCACTCTTCCATAAAGCCCAGCTCTGTGGAGTGTACGGCTTAAAGTGGTCCTATGGACAGATACTCCAATCTCCGCTGTGGAGCTTTGCAGCTCCTTCAGGGTTATCTTTGGTCTCATTGTTGCCTCTCTGATTAATGCCCTCCTTGCCTGGTCCGTGCATTTTGGTGGGCGGCCCTCTCTTGGCAGGTTTGTTGTGGTGCCATATTCTTTCCATTTTTTAATAATGGATTTAATGGTGCTCTGTGGGTTTCTGATATTTTTTATAACCCAACCCTGATCTGTACTTCTCCACAACTTTGTCCTTGACCTGTTTGGAGAGCTCCTTGTTCTTCATGGTGCCGCTTGCTTGGTGGTGCCCCTTGCTTAGTGGTGTTGCAGACTCTGGGGCCTTTCAGAACAGGTGTCTATATACTGAGATCATGTGACCGATCATGTGACACTTAGATTGCACACAGGTGGACTTTATTTAACTAATTATGTGACTTCTGAAGGTAATTGGTTGCACCAGATCTTATTTAGGGGCTTCATAGCAAAGGGGGTGAATACATATGCACGCACCACTTTTCCGTTATTTATTTTGTATACATTTTTGAAACAAGTTATTTTGACTATTTTGTGAAATCCAAATAAAAATACATTTAAATTACAGGTTGTAATGCAACAAAATATGAAAAACGCCAAGGGGGATGAATACTTTTGCAAGGCACTGTAGAAAATCCGGTGTTTCTATGTCAAACGGTTTTGTTATATTCCAGTCTTCTGTGATGTATATAAAGTATAATATTGGGATGCAAACTCAAAATGTAATATATTTCAACTCTACAGTGAGGGAAAAAAGTATTTGATCCCCTGCTGATTTTGTACTTTTGCCCACTGACAAAGAAATGATCAGTCTATAATTTTAATGGTAGGTTTATTTGAACAGTGAGAGACAGAATAACAACAAAAAAATCCAGAAAAACGCATGCCAAAAATGTTATAAATTGATTTGCATTTTAATGAGGGAAATACGTATTTGACCCCCTCTCAATGAGAAAGATTTCTGGCTCCCAGGTGTTTTTTATAAAGGTAACGAGCTGAGATTAGGAGCACACTCTTAAAGGGAGTGCTCCTAATCTCAGTTTGTCACCTGTATAAAAGACACCTGTCCACAGAAGCAATCAATCAATCAGATTCCAAACTCTCCACCTTGGCCAAGACCAAAGAGCTCTCCAAGGATGTCAGGGACAAGATTGTAGACCTACACAAGGCTGGAATGGGCTACAAGACCATCGCCAAGCAGTTTGGTGAGAAGGTGACAACAGTTGGTGCGATTATTCGCAAATGGAAGAAACACAAAATAACTGTCAATCTCCCTCGGCCTGGGGCTCCATGCAAGATCTCACCTTGTGGAGTTGCAATGATCATGAGAACGGTGAGGAATCAGCCCAGAACTACACGGGAGGATCTTGTCAATGATCTCAAGGCAGCTGGGACCATAGTCACCAAGAAAACAATTGGTAACACACTACGCCGTGAAGGACTGAAATCCTGCAGCGCCCGCAAGGTCCCCCTGCTCAAGAAAGCACATATACAGGCCCGTCTGAAGTTTGCCAATGAACATCTGAATGATTCAGAGGAGAGCTGGGTGAAAGTGCTGTGGTCAGATGAGACCAAAATTGAGCTCTTTGGCATCAACTCAACTCACCGTGTTTTGAGGAGGAGGAATGCTGCCTATGACCCCAAGAACACCATCCCCACCGTCAAACATGGAGGTGGAAACATTATGCTTTGGGGGTGTTTTTCTGCTAAGGGGACAGGACAACTTCACCGCATCAAAGGGACGATGGACAGGGCCATGTACCGTCAAATCTTGGGTGAGAACCTCCTTCCCTCAGCCAGGGCATTGAAAATGGATCGTGGAAGGGTATTCCAGCATGACAATGACCCAAAACACACGGCCAAGGCAACAAAGGAGTGGCTCAAGAAGAAGCACATTAAGGTCCTGGAGTGGCCTAGCCAGTCTCCAGACCTTAATCCCATAGATAATCTGTGGAGGGAGCTAAGGGTTCGAGTTGCCAAATGTCAGCCTCGAAACCTTAATGACTTGTAGAAGATCTGCAAAGAGGAGTGGGACAAAATCCCTCCTGAGATGTGTGCAAACCTGGTGGCCAACTACAAGAAACATCTGACCTCTGTGATTGCCAACAAGGGTTTTGCCACCAAGTACTAAGTCATGTTTTGTAGAGGGGTCAAATATTTATTTCCCTCATTAAAATGCAAATCAATTTATAACATTTTTGACATGCGTTTTTCTGGATTTTTGTTGTTGTTATTCTGTCTCTCACTGTTCAAATAAACCTACCATTAAAATGATAGACTGATCATGTCTTTGTCAGTGGGCAAACGTACAAAATCAGCAGGGGATCAAACATTTTTTCCCCTCACTGTATATCTGACATGGTACAGGTGTCCTCTTTTTTTAAAGTCCATAACCATGTGTGTGAGGTGTATACTTTTGTTTCAAAGTAGATTTGTTTAAGACTACCAAGAAACACAGTGTCACCCTGATTTAGCCCTCTGCAATAAATGAATGAGAAATCTTCAAAACTAGGCCAAATCAGGAAGTACAGTCACCCTTTAAGTCGGTGTTTGCATAATTCCATTGTTTTGTATTCTAACGAGTGTCTCCCTCGCTCCCTGTTTCAGGTGGTGTACTTCTCAGCAACGTACCCCTACTTCATGCTCTTCATCCTCTTCTGCCGCGGCATCACTCTCCCCGGAGCCATCGATGGAATCCTCTTCTATATCACGCCCAACTTTGAAAAGCTCAAAGAATCAGAGGTAGCTAGCCTTTATCAGTGAACAACAAATACAGAGCGAGGAAGGATGCTGATTGCTGTATGTGATGCTGTGATTTGCAGTGTGTTTTGACTTGCAGTGTGTTTTGACTTGCAGTGTGTTTTGACTTGCAGTGCGTTTTGACTTGCAGTGCATTTTGACATACTGTGTGTTTTGACTTGCAGTGCGTTTTGACTTGCAGTGTGTTTTGACTTGCAGTGCATTTTGACTTGCAGTGTGTTTTGACTTGCAGTGCGTTTTGACTTTCAGTGCGTTTTGACTTGCAGTGTGTTTTGACTTGCAGTGCATTTTGACTTGCAGTGCATTTTGACTTGCAGTGTGTTTTGACTCTCTGTCTCTGTTCTTGTCAGGTGTGGTTGGATGCTGCCACTCAGATCTTTTTTTCTTATGGGCTGGGTCTGGGATCACTGATCGCTCTGGGAAGCTACAACCCCTTCAATAATAATGTTTACAGGTAGGTTTATATCTTTAATACCTCTCAATCCAGCTCTTTACTGCAGCTTATATTCTGCCTCTGCCAATGATGTGTGGACCTATGTCAATGGATTATTCTGCTGTAAGATAGAGGTGAGAGAGAGAGAGAATGAGAGAGTGAGAGAGAGAAAGAGAGAGAGAATGAGAGAGAGAGAGAGAGAGATGAGAGAAGATGAAGACGAAATGGACGAGAGAGAAGAGAGACGAGATAGTAGAGAGACGAGAGAGAGAAGCAGAGGAAGATATCTAAGAGAGATCGAGAGCTACGAGCTAGCTCTGTACTCTAGCTCTCAGAGCGCTCGATCGCTCCTCTCGATCATCTATATCGAACTCTCTCCTGCTCTCTCGCTGCTCTATCTCTCTCTCTTCTCTCTCTCGTTCTCTATCTCATGCACATCCCTCTCATCGAATTCTCTCATTCTCTCTCTCCTTAGCATCTCTCTCTCCTCCTCTCTCCTCCCTCCTCTCCTCCATCTGCACCTCCCTCGCTCCTCCTCTCCTCCTCCCTCTGCTACTCTCCTCCAATGAATCGACGGTATAAACTCCCAATCTCTGACATGCCATGGTCATCCATTCTTGCATACCTCTCTGCTCCATGCAAATCTCATCCTGCCATCCCTCACTCCCTCCCTCCCTCCCTCCCTCCCTCCCCTCCCTCCCTCCCTCCCCTCCCCTCCCTCCCTCCCTCCCTCCCTCCCTCCCTTCCAAAGGAAATGCGCTGTGGTTTGATAAGGCTTCCATATCAGTGTGCCAACAGCCATTCCAATCCATGCTTTGTCTTTCTCTCTCCCTGCAGAGATTCTGTCATTGTGTGCTGCATCAACTCGTTCACCAGCATGTTCGCTGGCTTGGTCATCTTCTCCATTGTGGGCTTCATGGCCAACGTGACTAAGAGACCTATAATAGAAGTAGCAGCCTCAGGTAATCACTATTGCTATTGCTAATTGCTATTATATAGATATAGATATATAGACTATTGATGTGGATCTTAGTGGAACAATAAAGCATTTAATGCTACGATTTACACGATACACGATTTCGCCAAGTTTTTTCCATCCCAGACTAATTTTCATGATTGGGGTGAAATCCTATAAACTGTTTTTAAGATACCAAGGATCATTTAGCTATTGGATTAAAAATTTTGGACACTTTTTTTTTGTTGATGAAACATTGAATATGGCCTTACTGCTATTAACCCATAGAAATGCATTGAATAACAGCTTCACACATGGATTAACAGATAGTCCCCCAAAAAAATCTAAAGGAAATTTGTTCTGAAGTTTCTGTCCTATATCTGAGAGATACATGTGAAAGATCAGGAAACTATATACACTACCGTTCAAAAGTTTGGGGTCACTTAGAAATGTCCTTGTTTTCCATGAAAACATACAGTGGGGAAAAAAAGTATTTAGTCAGCCACCAATTGTGCAAGTTCTCCCACTTAAAAAGATGAGAGAGGCCTGTAATTTTCATCATAGGTACACGTCAACTATGACAGACAAATTGAGATTTTTTTTCTCCAGAAAATCACATTGAAATCAATCACTTTGATTTGTTACTTTGGTCCCAGCTCTCTGCAGGTCATTCACTAGGTCCCCCCGTGTGGTTCTGGGATTTTTGCTCACCGTTCTTGTGATCATTTTGACCCCACGGGGTGAGATCTTGCGTGGAGCCCCAGATCGAGGGAGATTATCAGTGGTCTTGTATGTCTTCCATTTCCTAATAATTGCTCCCACAGTTGATTTCTTCAAATCAAGCTGCTTACCTATTGCAGATTCAGTCTTCCCAGCCTGGTGCAGGTTTACAATTTTGTTTCTGGTGTCCTTTGACAGCTCTTTGGTCTTGGTCATAGTGGAGTTTGGAGTGTGACTGTTTGAGGTTGTGGACAGGTGTCTTTTATACTGATAACAAGTTCAAACAGGTGCCATTAATACAGGTAACGAGTGGAGGACAGAGGAGCCTCTTAAAGAAGAAGTTACAGGTCTGTGAGAGCCAGAAATCTTGCTTGTTTGTAGGTGACCAAATACTTATTTTCCACCATAATTTGCAAATAAATTCCTAAAAAATCCTACAATGTGCTTTTCTGGATTTTTTTTCCTCATTTTGTCTGTCATAGTTGACGTGTACCTATGATGAAAATTACAGGCCTCTCTCATCTTTTTAAGTGGGAGAACTTGCACAATTGGTGGCTGACTAAATACTTTTTTCCCCCACTGTACATGAAATGAGTTTGAATAGGAAATAAAGCAAAATGAATAGGAAATGTAGTCATTGACAAGGTTAGAAATAATGATTTTTAATTGAAATAATAATTGTGTCCTTCAAACTTTGCTTTCATCAAATAATCCTCCATTTGCAGCAATTACAGCCTTGCAGACCTTTGGCATTCTAGTTGTCAATTTGTTGAGGTAATCTGAAGAGATGTCAACCCATGCTTACTGAAGCATGTCCCACAAGTTGGATTGGCTTGATGGGCACTGCTTACGTACCATACGGTCAAGCTGCTCCCACAACAGCTCAATAGGGTTGAGATCCGGTGACTGTGCTGGCCACTCCATTATAGACAGAATACCAGCTGACTGCTTCTTCCCTAAATAGTTATTGCATAGTTTGGAGCTGTGCTTTGGGTCATTGTCCTGTTATAGGAGGAAATTGGCTCCAATCAAGCGCCGTCCACAGGGTATGGCATGGCGTTGCAAAATGGAGTGATAGCCTTTCTTCTTCAAGATCCCTTTTACCCTGTACAAATCTCCCACTTTACCACCACCAAAGCACCCCCAGACCATCACATTGCCTCCACCATGCTTGACAGATGGCATCAAGCACTCCTCCAGCATCTTTTCATTTGCTCTGCGTCTCACAAATGTTCTTCTTTGTGATCCGAAAACCTCAAACTTCGATTCGTCTGTCCATAACACTTTTTTCCAATCTTCCTCTGTCCAGTGTCTGTGTTCTTTTTCCCATTTTAATCTTTTATTTTTATTGGCCAGTCTGAGATATGGCTTTTTCTTTGCAACTCTGCCTAGAAGGTCAGCATCCCGGAGTCGCCTCTTCACTGTTGACGTTGAGACTGGTGTTTTGCGGGTACTATTTAATGAAGCTGCCAGTTGAGGACCTATGAGGTGTCTGTTTCTCAAACTAGACACTAATGTATTTGTCCTCTTGCTCAGTTGTGCACTGGGGCCTCCCACTCCTCTTTCTATTCTGGTTAGAGCCAGTTTGCGCTGTTCTGTGAAGGGAGTAGTACACAGCGTTGTACGAGATCTTCAGTTTCTTGGCAATTTCTCGCATGGAATAGCCTTCATTTCTCAGAACAAGAATAGACTGACGAGTTTCAGAAGAAAGTTATTTGTTTCTGGCCATTTTGAGGCTGTAATCGAACCCACAATTGCTGATGCTCCAGATACTCAACTAGTCTCAAGAAGGCCAGTTTTATTGCTTCTTTAATCAGCACAACAGTTTTCAGCTGTGCTAACGTAATTGCAAAATGGTTTTCTAATGATCAATTAGCCTTTTAAAATGATAAACTTGGATTAGCAAACACAACGTGCCATTGGAACACAGGGCTGATGGTTTCTGATAATGGGCCTCTGTACGCCTATGTAGATATTCCATTAAAAATCACCCGTTTCCAGCAACAATAGCCATTTACAACATGTGTCTACACTGTATTTGTCAAGCGTGCTGTAGGTGGGTGTAGTGGTGGAATCAAGCGCAGGACACCGAAGTATAGTCCAAAAGACTTTAGTAATATTTCCAACAAGGAAAATATGAACACACGTGCCCGAAGGCGAAATTACGCACGAAGGCGACAAAATAACGGCGCACTAAACATGTGCGAAAAACGTTCCAACGTAGTGGAGTGCAGCTCAACCGAGCGAGAATGCAACAAACAAGCAACACAACGACAGCAAAATATTCAATAACACACAACACTAGACAAACACAACGAGAAACTTATAAGACACTAATTACGCTAAACGAGAAACAGGTGTCACAACAAACAGACAAAAGCAAACGAACATGAAACATACAACGGTGGCAGCTAGTATTCCGGAGACAACGAACGCCGAAGCCTGCCCGAACAAGGAAGAGAGGCAGCCTCGGCCGAAACCGTGACAGTATTTCTGATCAATTTGATGTTATTTTAATGGACAAAAAAAATGCTTTTCTTTCGAAAACAAGGACATTTCTAAGTGATCTCAAATTTTTGAACGGTAGTGTATATATCAATTATTATTATTATATACATTTATTTTTTTACCCCTTATTTTAGGCACTAAACTATCTCCAAATATGCTTCCATTAGTTTTTTTAACCGGTAACAGGCTACCTTCAGGATAGTCTTGTGAAGCTTGTGGGCGTCCTAGAGCAAAATGTACGCATCCTAGACATGTACGTGTTCGCGAGAATCACACCTTTCCACAGAGAGGTCATATTAGTGTGTAGCCCAAACCGTTCAGACGCTTCAGACGAGTCCCGTGACGCTTGTGGGGGTCGTAGAGGAAAACGTAGTTGAAGCTTGCGGGGCTTCGGAAAATCGACTCGGGGGGTTGGTTTAAAAAATCAGATTTTAAGAAGATACATTTTTGAAACAGGAGAGGTTTAGCCATGATTTCATGGCTGTGGTAACTAGTGGCTACCCAACACGCACCGTGAGGACCGAGGTAATGGAAGACAGATTGGTGGAGCTTTAGAGAGAACGCTCCAGAAGCCTTTTCAATAATAAAAGTTTTATAACACCTCCAATCCTTTATGTAGAATATAAAGTCCATACTGGTCACATCTGACCAACCATTCTGAATTGGAGGTGTTGTGTTGCCCGTGTAAACGCAGCGAATGCTATATAAATAAATAAATTGCCTATACCTGTGAGCCATCAAGTGATTTACCGGAACACATAGCAATGGTACCGTAGTACCGTAGGTTCTCATTGAACATGCCAGGATTAGGCTTAATCTGGGTCCAGGAAGGAAACCGGTCCTTAGAGCAAATCCTTGCAACCCATACCTATGAGGCATTTAAGTGAGTTTTTTAAAACACTATCCTATATGTGTATTTTAAACAGGACCGGGAGGTATAAGGTTGTCACATCCCGTCTCTGACTGCCTGTCTGTGTTGTGTTGCAGGTCCAGGCTTGGCGTTCTTGGCCTACCCAGAGGCAGTAACCCAGCTGCCCATCTCTCTGACTGCCTGTCTGTGTTGTGTTGCAGGTCCAGGCTTGGCGTTCTTGGCCTACCCAGAGGCAGTAACCCAGCTGCCCATCTCTCTGACTGCCTGTCTGTGTTGTGTTGCAGGTCCAGGCTTGGCGTTCTTGGCCTACCCAGAGGCAGTAACCCAGCTGCCCATCTCTCTGACTGCCTGTCCGTGTTGTGTTGCAGGTCCAGGCTTGGCGTTCTTGGCCTACCCAGAGGCAGTAACCCAGCTGCCCATCTCTCTGACTGCCTGTCCGTGTTGTGTTGCAGGTCCAGGCTTGGCGTTCTTGGCCTACCCAGAGGCAGTAACCCAGCTGCCCATCTCTCTGACTGCCTGTCTGTGTTGTGTTGCAGGTCCAGGCTTGGCGTTCTTGGCCTACCCAGAGGCAGTAACCCAGCTGCCCATCTCTCTGACTGCCTGTCTGTGTTGTGTTGCAGGTCCAGGCTTGGCGTTCTTGGCCTACCCAGAGGCAGTAACCCAGCTGCCCATCTCTCTGACTGCCTGTCTGTGTTGTGTTGCAGGTCCAGGCTTGGCGTTCTTGGCCTACCCAGAGGCAGTAACCCAGCTGCCCATCTCTCCTCTTTGGGCGATACTGTTCTTCTCTATGCTGCTGATGCTGGGCATCGACAGTCAGGTGAGGGAACAACAGCCATTTGGAGTTCATGTGTTGTGTTGTCCTGTGTTGTTGTGTTGTCCTGTGTTTGTTGTGTTGTCCTGCGTTGTTGTGTTGTTGTGTTGTTGTGTTGTTTTGTCCTGTGTTGTTGTGTTGCCCTGCGTTGTTGTGTTGTTGTGTTGTTGTGTTGTTTTGTCCTGTGTTGTTGTGTTGTTTTGTCCTGTGTTGTTGTGTTGTGTTTGTCCTGTATTGTGATGTGTTGTGTTGTCCTGCGTTGTTGTTTTGTTGTGTTGTTGTGTTGTTTTGTCCTGTGTTGTTGTGTTGTTTTGTCCTGTGTTGTTGTGTTGTGTTGTCCTGTATTGTGATGTGTTGTGTTGTCCTTTGTTCTGTTGTTGTGTTGTGTTGTCCTGTATTGTGATGTGTTGTGTTGTCCTGTGTTGTGTTGTGTTGTTGTGTTGTGTTGGACCATGGATGTACAGTAGTATTATCCATCCAATGCAGTGCTTGACTTGGTTGAGCTAAAGGATTGCAATACGTTTTGGCTAATATTCTACTAGAGGTGCAGGAACTTAAGCAGTAGAACATGTCAGGTGCAGGAATTCAGTTCAAGTCGAGCACTGATCTAATGTATCTAACCTAAGGGGTATACTGCAAAGGAGGATCAAGGAGTTAGCCAGCTAACTTACCTTTTAATTTTTCAGAAAGATTAATTTGAAATTGACATAATCTAATTGATTCAACAAACGAAAAATACATATCTAACTAAGCTTAGCTTTTTTAATTAACCATAAAATCAATAGTTATTTCTGGTTGCTTATCAAAGTTAGCTGACCAACTCATTGAATCTGCTTTGTAGTATATCCCTGTAGTAGTGTACTGTGGAGGAATAGTATTATCTAATGTGTTGTGTAGTAGTGTACTGTGGAGGTACAGTATTCCCAGCAAACCAAAATTGGTTCTGTGAAAGTTCCCAGAACATTTGTTACGTTGCGTCAAATGTTCTCATAACACAAAAACTGTTCAGTTGTGATGATGATTATACAATGTTTGTATAAAACATTCGACTGATGTTGTAAGAATGTTCCCAGAACACATTTTGTCTGTTTGTGTTATTACGTTACCTGGAAACCTAATGAGAACGTTTGGGGAATGTTCTGTGGTGGTTTTTACAGATGTTGTGTACAACAGTTTAGTGAATGTTAGGATAACGTTCTGATGACATTTAATTACATAAAAAAAAAAAAAATCAGATTGTTATCTAAAACATTCTTTGAATGTTTTTTTTGGGATGTTATCATCCTAACGTTAGATAAAAACCCTAACTAGAACTTAATGGGAATCTTAGCTAATGTTCTTGGAATGTTCCCAGTTTGCTGGGTTATCTAATATCGTTATCTTCTGTGTAGTTCTGCACGGTGGAGGGCTTCATCACTGCGTTGGTGGATGAGTTCCCCAGGGCTCTGAGAGGAAGAAGAGAACTCTTCATCGCTGCCGTCTGCCTGGTGTCTTATATCATCGGCCTGTCCAACATCACACAGGTACAGTACACACACACACACAGGTACGGTACACACACACACACAGGTACGGTACACACACACACACAGGTACGGCACACACACACACACAGGTACGGCACACACACACACACAGGTACGGCACACACACACACACAGGTACGGCACACACACACACACAGGTACGGTACACACACACACACAGGTACGGCACACACACACACAGGTACGGCACACACACACACACAGGTACGGCACACACACACAAATACGTCTTTATCTTGTTGTCTGGACATTGCTTCAGCCAGAAAACCAGATTTCAACCAGAAAATGATGTCACTAATGTCCCATGTCAGATATTGCCAGCTGGGATTGGTCTTCATGGTGTATTGTATAGGGGGGGGGGGGAAAGTGCTCTGTCATGGTTCACTTGAGGTAACTGGGTTCACTTGTATTGTGATGTAATGGCAGTGTAGTTAACTTTATCTGTGTTTATCTATCAGTTAGATAGATGTACTTATACTTTATCTGTGTAATGTACTCTGGTCAGTTGAGACTAAAATTGAGCTTTTTGGCCATCAAGGAAAACACTATGTCTGGCACAAACCCAACACCTTTCATCACCCCGAGAACACCATCCCCACAGTGAAGCATGGTGGTGGCAGCATCATGCTGTGGGGATGTTTTTCATCGGCAGGGACTGGGAAACTGGTCAGAATTGAAGGAATGATGGATGACGCTAAATACATTTTTGAGGGAAACCTGTTTCAGTCTTCCAGAGATTTGAGACTGGGATGGAGGTTCACCTTCCAGCAGGACAATGACCCTAAGCATACTGCTAAAGCAACACTCGAGTGGTTTAAGGGGAAACATTGAAATGTCTTGGAATGGCCTAGTCAAAGCCCAGACCTCAATCCAATTGAGAATCTGTGGTATGACTTAAAGATTGCTGTACACCAGCGGAACCCATCCAACTTGAAGGAGCTGGAGCAGTTTTGCCTTGAAGAATGGGCAAAAATCCCAGTGGCTAGATGTGCCAAGCTTATAAAGACATACCCCAAGCGACTTGCAGCTGTAATTGCTGCAAAAGGTGGCTCTACAAAGTATTGACTTTGGGGGGGGTGAATAGTTATGCACGCTCAAGTTTTCAGTTTTTTTGTTTCACACACAAAAAAATTGCATCTTCAAAGTGGTAGGCATGTTGTGTAAATCAAATGATACAAACCCCCCAAAAATCAATTTTAATTCCAGGTTGTAAGGCAACAAAATAGGGAAAATGCCAAGGGGGGGTGAATACTTTCGCAAGCCACTCTATATCATCTTTAAGTCCGTGTTCATTTTCCCTCAGTACAATAATATTACTTTAATAAGTTGTGTTGAAATCCATTCCTGTATCTGATCAGATGACGTAATGTAGTCAGTCTACCGCGTCATTCTAACTCATTCATCCACGAGCTCCCTCTTCCCCCCCGGGCTCTTTCACAGGATCAAGCCAGGGGAAAACGATGATGTCTTCTCAAGCTCCACATCCCAAACTCTAAGGTCCAGAACTCTCCTCCTAAACCGTCGTCTACTCACTGATGTAGCGTGGCCACTGACCAATCACTGAACGCTCCAAGTCACCCCTCTAGTCCCCTGCTTGTATGAAACACTACCCACCCCATTGCACCGCTCTTCACAGCATCATCACATCTGTCACTGGAGATTCATGTCTGCATTCTTCTTGGATTGAATCAATCGGCCTAATCAGTTGTTCAGCTCTGCAGTTCCAGTCTACCCTGCACTAGAGCTGGGCTCCAGAGCCCTGAACCTCCCAGCCCTGAACGTCCCGGCCCTGAACGTCCCGGCCCTGAACTTCCCGGCCCTGAACTTCCCAGCCCTGAACTTCCCAGCCCTGAACTTCCCAGCCCTGAACGTCCCAGCCCTGAACGTCCCGGCCCTGAACGTCCCAGCCCTGAACTTCCCGGCCCTGAACGTCCCAGCCCTGAACGTCCCAGCCCTGAACGTCCCAGCCCTGAACGTCCCAGCCCTGAACGTCCCAGCCCTGAACTTCCCAGCCCTGAACGTCCCAGCCCTGAACGTCCCAGCCCTGAACTTCCCAGCCCTGAACTTCCCAGCCCTGAACGTCCCAGCCCTGAACTTCCCAGCCCTGAACGTCCCAGCCCTGAACGTCCCAGCCATGAGCCTCCTAGCCCTGAGCCTCCCAGGCACGCAAGCAGGCAGCTAGGCAGGCAAGCACATAGGCTACATCACATCAGATTGGTTCTATCTTCTATCCTGTATCCCCCCCATCCCTCCCTGACTTGCTGGTATCTTTCTGCCTCTCTCTGCACACACTTGCGAAGATTCTCCACAATGTACCTAGTCTTCGTTGTTATGCTTAAGACCAGTTCTATGCCACCAGTTCTATGCCACCACCAGTTCTACGCCACCAGTACTATGCCCCCACCAGTTCTATGCCACCAGTTCTACGCCACCAGTTCTATGCCACCACCAGTTCTACGCCACCAGTTCTATGCCCCCACCAGTTCTATGCCACCAGTTCTACGCCACCAGTTCTATGCCCCCACCAGTTATATGCCACCAGTTCTACGCCACCAGTTCTATGCCCCCACCAGTTCTATGCCACCAGTTCTACGCCACCAGTTCTATGCCCCCTCCAGTTCTATGCCACCACCAGTTCTATGCCACCAGTTCTATGCCACCACCAGTTCTATGCCACCAGTTCTATGCCCCCTCCAGTTCTATGCCACCAGTTCTATGCCACCAGTTCTATAATACCACCAGTTCTATGCCACCACCAGTTCTATACCACCATTTCTATACCACCAGTTCTATGCCACCAGTTCTATGCCACCACCAGTTCTATGCCACCAGTTCTATGCCACCAGTCCTATGCCACCAGTTCTATAATACCACCAGTTCTATACCACCAGTTCTATACCACCAGTTTTATGCCACCAGTTCTATGCTACCAGTTCTATGCCACCAGTTCTATGCCACCAGTTCTATGCCACCACCAGTTCTATGCCACCACCAGTTCTATACCACCAGTTTTATGCCACCAGTTCTATGCTACCAGTTCTATGCCACCAGTTCTATGCCACCAGTTCTATGCCACCACCAGTTCTATGCCACCACCAGTTTTATGCCACCAGTTCTATGCTACCAGTTCTATGCCACCAGTTCTATGCCACCAGTTCTATGCCACCACCAGTTCTATGCCACCACCAGTTCTATGCCACCAGTTCTATGCCACCAGTTCTATGCCACCAGTTCTATGTCACAGCTCGTTGTGAGGCCAAATTATGAAAACAAAGAGTTGTATATAAACGAGGAAACAAGTGATTGTGTCTCTAACACTCTCCTCTCCTATTCTGTTCTATTCTCTGCCTCTTCCAATAGGGTGGGCTTTATGTGTTCAAGCTGTTTGACTACTACTCTGCCAGCGGAATGTGCCTGCTCTTCCTGGTTTTCTTCGAGTGCGTCTCCATATCCTGGTTCTACGGTGAGTCAGTGACATCACTTCCTGTTAGTGCTATGGTGACATCACTAACCTGACGTTGATGACCATGTCTTCAGACTGATGTGTAAAGAATTGTCCAGCGCAACTCAATAGTCTGTGTGCAAAAGTATTGGGGTCCGCTCAACATAATAGTCTTTGGGTCTGCTTAACGTAATAGTCTTTGGGTCTGCTCAACGTACTAGTCTTTGGGTCTGCTCAATGTAATAGTCTTTGGGTCTGCTCAACATAATTGTATTTGGGTCTGCTCAACATAATAGTCTTTGGGTCTGCTCAACGTACTAGTCTTTGGGTCTGCTCAACATAATAGTCTTTGGGTCTGCTCAACGTACTAGTCTTTGGGTCTGCTCACATAAGTCTTTGGGTTCTCAATGCTAGTCTTTGGGTCTGCTCAACATAATAGTCTTTGGGTCTGCTCAATGTACTAGTCTTTGGGTCTGCTCAATGTAATAGTCTTTGGGTCTGCTCAACGTAATAGTCTTTGGGTCTGCTCAATGTAATAGTCTTTGGGTCTGCTCAACGTAATAGTCTTTGGGTCTGCTCAACGTAATAGTCTTTGGGTCTGCTCAATGTAATAGTCTTTGGGTCTGCTCAATGTAATAGTCTTTGGGTTGCTCAAGTAATAGTTTGGGGTCTGCTCAGAAATAGTTTTGGGTCGGGCCTCAATGTTTGTAAAGTCTTTGGGTCTTCAATGTTTAATAGTTTTGGGTCTGCTAAAGTAATAGTCTTTGGGTTGCTCAAGTAATAGTCTTGGGTCTGCTCAATGAAATAGTCTTTGGGTCTGCTAAAGTAATAGTTTTGGGTTGCTCAAGTAATAGTCTTTGGGTCTTGCCCGTAAATAAGTCTTGGGTAAAGGTTGGGCTGCTCGCTTCGAGTTGGTACAAATTCATATCTAAAGGACTGCTCAGTTGAGTGCAGCTTCTTGTCTTCAATCATAGGACATTTGACCTACAATGTCTTGTATATGTTGCAGGTGCCGATAAGTTCCTTGCCAACATTGAGGAGATGATTGGCCACAGTTTAGACTGCCTTGTTGGTCGAAGTACTCTTTGGGGTGCAAGTAGGGTTCAACGGGGTGGCTAATCTGTTCGTTTGTCTACTCTTCTGTCTCTTTCTCAGAGAAGAGCGCTGTGAGTAGAGTCGGCTCTCAGAGAGTTGGGAGCCGGGTGGCAGGGCGAGGTGAGGCTGGAGTGGGGGTCCAAGGAGCGAGATATCGAGGGCGGACGAGAGAGGAGAGAGGAAGGAGAGAGCGAGCAGAGAGAAGGAGGATAGGAGAACGAGGGAGAGAGGACGAGAGGGGAGAGAGCGAGAGGAGCCGGGAGGAAGACAGGAGAGGAGAGAGAAGAGAGGAGAGAAAGAGAGAGAGGAGAGGAGAGGAGAAGAGAAGACGAAGGAAGGAACGAGGAGAGAGGAGGGAAGGAGCGAGAGAGAGGAGCAGAGGGGCGGAGAGGAGACGAGAGAGGAGGACGAGCGCGAAGCGACGGAACGACCGAGCGAGCGCCCGCAGGCGAGAGACGAGAGAACGGAAGAGAGCGAAGAAGAGCGCGGAGAGGAGCGAGACGAGAGAGAGGAGAAGAAGAAGAGCGGAGAGGAAGCGAAAGAAAAGAGAGGAGAGAGAGGAGGGAAGAGAGAGGAGAGAGAGAGGGAAGGAGAGAGGAGAGAGAGAGGAGCAGGAGAGAGCGCGAGAAGAGACGAAAGGAGAGAGAGAGGAAGAAAGGACGAGAGAGAGAGAGAGGGAGAGAGAGAAGAGGAGGCGAAGAGAAGAGAGGGAGAGAAGCGAGAGAGAGAGAGAGAGAAGAGAGAAAGAAAAAGGGAGAGAGAGCGTAGAAAAAGCGAGCGAGAAGATATGATGCCAAGAAAGAGAGATAGGAACCGAGCAGTGATGCAGAGAGCATCGGGGACAAGAGCTAAGGCGATACGAAATACCAGAGAGAAAGTCAGAGAGGCTCCCCTCTCTCTTCCTCCTCTCTCTTCTCTCACACATATTCTCTCTCTCTATCTATCCCTCCTCCTCTCTCCTTCCTCACCCCCTCATCCTTCTCTCTCTATATCTCTTCCCCTGTCTCAGTCTTTCTTCTCTCTACACTCTTAAAGCATAGCACTACAAATCAATGTCAAATCATGAATTTTGGTCAACTACCACAATGTATACAACTGTCTGGTGTTATTGTATGGAGGGCTGTTAGTGCCAAAAATAAAGAACAAACTATACAACATATTTTTGTCATTAACAACTCTCCATATTCCTGCAACCTTGGTCAAATCAAATCAAATGAAATTGTATTTGTCACATGTGCCGAATACAACAGGTGTAGACTTTACCGTGAAATGCTGACTTACGAGCCCTTTCCCAACAATGCAGAGTTAAAAAGTAAGAAAAATTAGCTCAAATAAAAAAGGAAATAGTAACACAATAAAATAACAATAATGAAGCTAGAAGCAGTAGAGGTACTGAGTCAATGTGCAGGGGTACGAGGTAGTTGAGGTTGAGGTTGTATATGTAGGCGGTCATCCCCCTCTTCAAAGGGGGTGACACTCTAGTTTCAAACTGCTACAGACCTATATCCATCCTGCCCTGCCTTTCGAAAGTATTTGAAAGCCTAGTTAACAAACAGATCACAGACCATTTCGAATCCCACCGTACCTTCTCCGCTATGCAATCTGGTTTCCGAGCTGGTCATGGGTGCACCTCAGCCACGCTCAAGGTCCTAGACGATATAATAACCACGATCGATAAAAGACAGTACTGTGCAGCCATCTTCATCAACCTGGCCAAGGCCTTTGACTCTGTCAATCACCGCATTCTAATTGGCAGACTAAATAGCCTTGGTTTCTCAAATGACTGCCTCGCCTGGTTCACCAATTACTTCTCAGATAGAGTTCAATATGTCAAATCGGAGGGCCTGTTGTCTGGACCTATGGCAGTCTCTATGGGGGTGCCACAGGGTTCAATTCTCAGGCCGACTCTATTCTCTGTGTATATCAATGATGTCGCTCTTGCTGCTGGTGACTCTCAGATCCACCTCTATGCAGACGACACCATTTTGTATACATCTGGCCCTTCATTGGACACTGTGTTAACAAATCTCCAAACGAGCTTCAATGCCATACAACACTCCTTCCGTGGCCTCCAACTGCTCTTAAACGCTAATAAAACTAAATGCATGCTCTTCAATCGAACGCTGCTTGCACCCGCCCGCCCGACTAGAATCACTACTCTCGACGAGTCTGACTTAGAATATGTGGACAACTACAAATACCTAGGTGTCTGGTTTCCAATAGGTTGTTCTTCTGTCTTCTCTTCCAGGGAGTTTTCCTGTTCAGTGCTGTCCAGATGGTTCCTCTCACCATGAACAACTATGTGTTCCCCGCCTGGGGCCAGGGAGTGGGCTGGTGCATGGCCCTGTCCTCCATGCTCCTGATACCTGGATACATGATCTACATGTTCCTCAACCTCAAGGGGGATTACAAAGAGGTATGGACATCTTCTTCTTTCTTCCTCAGCTGCTGCCAATCACTATATATATATATATATTATATATATATATATATGTATATATATATGTATATATATATATATATATATATATATTATATATTATATATATATATATATATATATATATATGTATATTGTATTTGTATTTATTATGGATCCGCATTAGTTCCTGCCAAGGCAGCAGCTACTCTTCCTGGGGTCCAGCAAAATTAAGGCAGTTATGCAATTTTTAAAACATTACAGTACATTTCACAACAGATATCTCAACACATTAAGTGTGTGCCCTCATGCCCCTACTACATCCATACAACACTAAATCCATGTGTACGTGTTTGTAGAGTGCGTGTGTTAGCATGCGTATGTGTATGTGTGTGTCTGTAACTGTGTGTGTGTGTGTGTCTCTTCACAGTCCCCGCTGTTCCATAAGGTGTATTTTTATCTGTTTTTTAAATCTGATTCTACTGCTTGCATCAGTTACCTGTTGTGGAATAGAGTTCCATGTAGTCATGGCTCTATGTAGTACTGTGCGCCTCCCATAGTCTGTTCTGGACTTGGGGACTGTGAAGAGACCTCTGGTGGCATGTCTTGTGGGGTATGCATGGGTGTCTGAGCTGTATGCTAGTAGACACTACTTGTATTTGTGAGAGGTATTGACATGTTGACTGCACCGAGCTGTCTGTTTAATCTTTCCTCTACTTTGAGCCAGGAGAGATTGACATGCATATTATTAATACAAGCTCTCTGTGTATATTTAAGGGTCAGCCGTGCTGCCCTGTTCTAGGCCAATAGTAATTTTCCTAAGTCCCTCTTTGTGGCACCTGACAACACGACTGGACAGTAGTCCAGGTGCGACAAAACTAGGGCCTGTAGGACCTGCCTTTTTGATAGCGTTTTTAAGAAGGCAGAGCAGCGCTTTATTATGGACAGACTTCTCCCCATCTTAGCTACTGTTGCTTCAATATGTTTCAACCATGACAGTTTACAATCCAGGATTACTCCCAAGCAGTTTAGTCTCCTCAACTTGCTCAATTTCCACATTATTCATTACAATATTTAGTTGAAGTTTAGGGTTTAGTGAATGATTTGTCCCAAATACAATGCATTTAGTTTTTGAAATATTTAGTACTAATTGATTTCTTGCCACCCATTCTGAAACTGACTGCAGCTCTTTGTAAAGTGTTGCAGTGATTTCACTCGCTGTAGAAGCTGACGTGTATGGTGTTGAGTCAACAGCATACACTACATGTTATGACAAGTTTCTCGGGTGTTCAAGTAATCAAAGATGTAAGAATGTAGTTGGACACTTTGTAGAAAGTTAATGCAAATGTTTTATTAATCGGTACCGGGTTAGAGACAACAATGGACAGAGCTTTGCCTTTTGCTGTTTCCAACTATCGAACAAAGATTCACTCTCCCTTATATACCCTTAGTTATCTTCCTTTCACATACATCTGGCACTCCCTTTCTCTGTTGTTATTACCCTTTGCCCCAGGTCATTATATCCTGTCCATCAATCACACGACCCTAAACATCACTAATCTCCTTTGACATAAGGAATGTAGACTTCATGCCCCAAAACCAATTATCTCATAACTACCTCGGTCCTCACACTATTATGACATGACATCATTACACTACCGTTCAAAAGTTTGGGGTCACTTAGAAATGTCCTTGTTTTCCATGAAAACATACATGAAATTAGTTTGAATAGGAAATATAGAAAAATGAACAGGAAATGTAGTCATTGACAAGGTTAGAAATAATGATTTTTAATTGAAATAATAATTGTGTCCTTCAAACTTTGCTTTCGTCAAAGAATCCTCCATTTGCAGCAATTACAGCCTTGCAGACCTTTGGCATTCTAGTTGTCAATTTGTTGAGGTAATCTGAAGAGATTTTACCCCATGCTTCCTGAAGCACCTCCCACAAGTTGGATTGGCTTGATGGGCACTTCTTACGTACTATACGGTCAAGCTGCTCCCACAACAGCTCAATAGGATTGAGGTCCGGTGACTGTGCTGGCCACTCCATTATAGACAGAATACCAGCTGACTGCTTCTTCCCTAAACAGGTCTTGCATAATTTGGAGCTGTGCTTTGGGTCATTGTCCTGTTGTAGGAGGAAATTGGCTCCAATCAAGCGCTGTCCACAGGGTATGGCATGGTGTTGCAAAATGGAGTGATAGCCTTCCTTCTTCAAGATCCCTTTTACCCTGTACAAATCTCCCACTTTACCACCACCAAAGCAACCCCAGACCATCACATTGCCTCCACCATGCTTGACAGATGGCATCAAGCACTCCTCCAGCATCTTTTCATTTGCTCTGCGTCTCACAAATGTTATTCTTTGTGATCCGAACACCTCAAACTTTGATTCGTCTGTCCATAACACTTTTTTCCAATCTTCCTCTGTCCAGTGTCTGTGTTCTTTTTCCCATCTTTAATCTTTTATTTTTAGTGGCCAGTCTGAGACATGGCTTTTTCTTTGCAACTCTGCCTAGAAGGTCAGCATCCCGGAGTCGCCTCTTAACTATTGACGTTGAGACTGGTGTTTTGTGGGTACTATTTAATGAAGTTGCCAGATGTGGACCTGTGAGGCGTCTGTTTCTCAAACTAGACACTCTAATGTATTTGTCCTCTTGCTCAGATGTGCACCGGGGCCTCCCACTCCTCTTTCTATTCTGGTTAGAGACAGTTTACGCTGTTCCGTGAAGGGAGTAGTACACAGCGTTGTACGAGATCTTCAGTTTCTTGGCAATTTCTTGCATGGAATAGCCTTCATTTCTCAGAACAAGAATAGACTGACGAGTTTCAGAAGAAAATTATTTGTTTCTGGCCATTTTGAGGCTATAATCGAACCCACAATTGCTGATCCTCCAGATACCCAACACGTCTCAAGAAGGCCAGTTTATTGCTTCTTTAATCAGCACAACAGTTTTCAGTTGTGCTAACATAATTGCAAAAGGGTTTTCTAATGATCAATTAGCCTTTTTTTTAAATGATAAACTTGGATTAGCAAACACAATGTGCCATTGGAACACAGGACTGATGGTTGCTGATAATGGGCCTCTGTACGCCTATGTAGATATTCCATAAAAAATCAGCCGTTTCCAGCTACAATAGCCATTTACAACATTAACAATGTCTACACTGTATTTCTGATCAATTCGATGTTATTTTAATGGACAAATTTTTTTTGCTTTTCTTGTTCGAAAACAAGGACATTTCTAAGAGATCCCAAACTTTTGAACGGTTGAGTACGTAGACACATAGGTCATTAGTAAATACTTTAAAAAGTAAGGAGGAGCTTTTTAGCAGACACTTTTATCCAAAGCAACTTAGTCATGCATGCATACATTTATTGTTTTCCCGGGAATCGAACCCACTATCCTGGCGTTGCAAGAGCTCACATACTGTCTCACATGCTGTATATTCAGAGTCAAGGGGCGGCCATTTTCTGTCCACAAAACAGCACAGCCCTTCGCAACTCCTAAAGCTTAATATAAAGAAATAACCATATCATGTGTCTCAGAAAGAGATCCGTCTCGAAGGACAAATGGCCTGCAGCTGAGAGTTTGGGGGCTTGCTTCCCAAGCTGTAGGATTTTGTAGTATTTTAAATAAATGGGAAGGCACTTAATCCAAAACAAGTTTGGAATATTGCTGCTGGCGATTACTGTTTTGATCTTAATCCGCATAAATAATCGTTGCATTCTCACAGACACAGTAGAAGCAAAGTTTGAGGACAGCAAATGTTGCCCGTTATGTCTTGAGCGTCATGGCTCGAGCATTATGTCTTAGACTTGGACAGACTCAGACAGACAAATACAGTGCCTTCAGAAAGTAGTCACACCCCTTGACTTATTCCACATTTTGTTGTGTTCCAGCCTGAATTCAAAATGGATTAAATATATTTTTCTCTCTCACCCATCTACACACAATACCCCATAATGACAAAGTGAAAACATGTTTTTAGAAATGTTAGGACATTTATTGAAAATGAAATGCAGAAATATCGAATTTACATAAGTATTCACACCCCTGAGTCAATACATGATAGAATCACCTTTGGCAGCGATTACAGGTGTGAGTATTTCTGAGTAAGTCTCTAAGAGCTTTCCACACCTAGATTGTGCAACATTTGCCCATTATTTTTTTTCAAAATTCTTGGTCTTTGATCATTGCCAGAGGTTATTGTCCTGCTGAAAGGGGAATTCAGCTCCCAGTGTCTGGTGGAAAGCAGACTGAACCAGGTTTTCCTCTAGTCTCCCAGTGTCTGGTGGAAAGCAGACTGAACCAGGTTTTCCTCTAGTCTCCCAGTGTCTGGTGGAAAGCAGACTGAACCAGGTTTTCCTCTAGTCTCCCGGTGTCTGGTGGAAAGCAGACTGAACCAGGTTTTCTCTAGTCTCCCGGTGTCTGGTGGGAAAGCAGGACTGAACCAGGTTTCCTCTAGTCTCCCAGTGTCTGGTGGAAAGCAGACTGGACCAGGTTTTCCTCTAGTCTCCCAGTGTCTGGTGGAAAGCAGACTGAACCAGGTATTTCCTCTAGTCTCCCAGTGTCTGGTGGAAAGCAGACTGAACCAGGTTTTCCTCTAGTCTCCCAGTGTCTGGTGGAAAGCAGACTGGACCAGGTTTTCCTCTAGTCTCCCAGTGTCTGGTGGAAAGCAGAGTGAACCAGGTTTTCCTCTAGTCTCCCAGTGTCTGGTGGAAAGCAGACTGAACCAGGTTTTCCTCTAGTCTCCCAGTGTCTGGTGGAAAGCAGACTGAACCAGATTTCCTCTAGTCTCCCAGTGTCTGGTGGGAAAGCAGACTGAACCAGGTTTTCTCTAGTCTCCCAGTGTCTGGTGGAAAGCAGGGACTTGAACCAGGTTTTCTCAGTCTTTCCCAGTGTCTGGTGGAAAGCCGACTGAACCAGGTTTTCCTCTAGTCTCCCAAGTGTCTGGTGGAAAGAAGACTGAACCAGGTTCGTCCTCTAGTCTCCCAGTGTCTGGTGGAAGGGTGGAAAAGCAGACTGAACCCGGTTTTTCCTCTAGTCTCACAGTGTCTGGTGGGAAAGCAACATAACCAGGTATTTCCTTAGTCTCCCAGTGTATTGGTCCGGAAACGCACGACTGTAACCAGGTTTTTTTCCTCTAGTCTCCCAGTGTATGGTGTTGAAAGCAGACTGAACCAGGGTTTTCCTCTAGTCTCCCAAGTGTCTGGTGGAAAGCAGAACTGAACCAGGTTTTGCCTCTAGTCTCCCAGTGTCTGGTGGGAAAAGCAGACAATGAAACCCAGGTTTTCCTCTAGTCTCCCAGTGTCTGGTGGAAAGCAGACTGAACCAGGTTTTCCTCTAGTCTCCCCAGTGTCTGGTGGACAGCCGATGAACAGGTTTTCACTATAGTCTCCCAGGTCTGGTGGAAAGCAGACTGAACCAGGTTTTTCCTTAGTTCTCCCCAGTGTCTGGTGGACAGCAGACTGACCAGGTTTTCCTCTAGTCTCCCAGTGTCTGGTGGAAAGCAGACTGAACCAGGGTTTCCTCTAGTCTCCCAGTGTCTGGTGGAAAGCAGACTGAACCAGGTTTTCCTCTAGTCTCCCAGTGTCTGGTGGAAAGCAGACTGAACCAGGTTTTCCTCTAGTCTCCCAGTGTCTGGTGGAAAGCAGACTGAACCAGGTTTTCCTCTAGTCTCCCAGAGTCTGGTGGAAAGCAGACTGAACCAGGGTTTCCTCTAGTCTCCCAGTGTCTGGTGGAAAGCAGACTGAACCAGGTATTTCCTCTAGGAGTTTGCGTGTGCTTGGCTCCTTTCTGTTTCTTTTTTTTCATCCTGAAAAACTCCCCAGTCTTTAACGATTACAAGCATACCCATAACATGATGGGCATAACGTGATGCACCCACCACTATGCTTTCATACCTGTATAATTAAAAAAAGTTTGAAAAGGTAGTGGAATGGATTTAGTGTGGTGTGTGAAGAATCCAATACTTTAACTTGTTTGCGGTACAAATCACATTATTGTGGGATCACCTCCTCTAATAGTATAAATTCGGATGTTTGAAAAGGTTTGAATCCTAAGCAACCTGCATACACATAGTTTGAAGTACAGTAGACCAACATAGCTACTGTAGTAGGTCAAAGCTGTGTGCTGGAAACCCTTGGTAGAGCATGGGTGCATTGTGGAGTTCATGTGAATTTAGTTTCTTTTTCGGCTTCAGACCAATCCCTACTTCTACCTTAAAATGTAGTTTTTTGTTTAGAATTTTTAGACTTAGGCATTGGTATACATATAGAACTAGACAGAGACAGAGACAGAGACAGAGACAGAGACAGAGAGACAGAGAAGAGAACGAAAACTAGACAGAGACAGAGAGACAGAGAGACAGAGAGACAGAGACAGAGACAGAGACAGAGACAGGACAGGACAGAGACAGAGACAGAGACAGAGACAGAGAGACAGAGAAAGAGAAAGAGACAGAAAACTAGACAGAGACAGAGACAGAGACAGAGACAGAGACAGAGACAGAGACAGAGACAGAGACAGAGACATACACATAAAACTAGACATAGACAGAGACAGAGACAGAGACAGAGACAGAGAGACAGAGAAAGAGACAGAAAACTAGACAAAGACAGAGACAGAGACAGAGACAGAGACAGAGACATACACATAAAACTAGACATAGACAGAGACAGAGACAGAGACAGAGACAGAGACAGAGACATACACATAAAACTAGACATAGACAGAGACAGAGGCAGAGGCAGAGACAGAGGCAGAGACAGAGGCAGAGAACAGAGACAGAGACAGAGACAGAGACAGAGACAGAGACAGAGACAGAGACATACACATAAAACTAGACATATACAGAGACAGAGACAGAGGCAGAGACAGAGGCAGAGACAGAGGCAGAGACAGAGACAGAGACATAAAACTAGACAGAGACAGAGAGAGACAGAGACATACACATAAAACTAGACAGAGACAGAGACAGAGACAGAGACAGAGACAGAGACAGAGACATAAAACTAAACAGAGACAGAGAGAGACAGAGACATAAAACTAGACAGAGACAGAGAGAGATCGAGACATACACATAAAACTAGACAGAGACAGAGACAGAGACAGAGACAGAGACAGAGACAGAGACAGAGACAGAGACAGAGACAGAGACATAAAACTAGACAGAGACAGAGAGAGACAGAGACATACACATAAAACTAGACAGAGACAGAGACAGAGACAGAGACAGAGACAGAGACAGAGACAGAGACATAAAACTAGACAGAGACAGAGACAGAGACAGAGACAGAAAACTAGACAGTGACAGAGAGAGACAGAGACATACACATAAAACTAGACAGAGACAGAGACAGAGACAGAGACAGAGACAGAGACAGAGACAGAGACAGAGACAGAGACAGAGACAGAGACAGGTACATGAAACATAGACATAAAACTAGACAGAGACAGAGACAGAGACAGAGACATAGACAGAAAACTAGACAGAGACGGAAACAGAGACATGGACACAGACATAGACAGAGACAGAGACAGAGACAGAGACAGAGACAGAGACAGAGACAGAGACAGAGAGACAGAGAGACAGAGACATAAAACTAGACAGAGACAGAGACAGAGACAGAAAACTAGACAGAGATGGAAACAGAGACATGGACACAGACATAGACATAGACATAGACAGAGACAGAGACGGAGACAGAGACAGAGACAGAGACGTACCTATTGGCCATCAATTTATTGATTTAACATATTCCTTTATGTGTATTTTCACAGGAATGGGTGGAATAAGGTTGTCAGATCCCGTCCAAATATCTGTCTGTGAACATACACATACTAAGAAATAGACATAGACATAGACGTTCAGTTGAAAAGGTCATAGAGAGGAATATGAGGCCGGTCAGTGAAAGACTGATCAGTAATTGTTGGTTTGGGTGTTGTCAAGGATGGAGCGCTGCGGTCATCACTTGTAACGAGATGAGCAGCTGTCAGCCCCTTTGTGTCAGTCAGTGGAGTCTTGATTGCCTAAATTGTAGCAATCAGTTCCTTGATTAGTATGTGCCAAGCAGCAGACGGAGGCTGGTTCTCGCAGACACTGAGCCAGCTAGCTATCTAGTGCATTATACAATGTTTAGCAAGATTTTCGATGGCAGCAATGCGAAAGCTTAATTTACTGCAGTGGGCTAAATCAGGGTCACACAGAGTGTTTCTTGGTAGTCTTAAACAAATCTACTTTGAAACAGAAGTACACACCTCACACACATGGTTATGGGCTTTAAAAAAAGAAGACACCTGTACCATGTCAGATATAGAGTTGAAGTGTATTCAATTTGGAGTTTTCCTCCCAATATTACACTTTATATACATCACAGAAGACTGAAATATAACAAAACCATTTGACATAGAAACACCGGATTTTTGGCGGCTTTTTTGAAATAATGTTTATTCATTATTAAATAATGAAAAATATTAATAATATTCCACCCATGAGGCCACTAGGTCATTTGACTGCAGGAAAGGGCTACAGATGTCAGCAAGCGGACTGATGTTTTTAGAAACATATGGTTTCGTTGCAGCGTCTGCAGATAGCATGGTAAAGTTGTAACTCACTGCCAACAATGCCTAAAGATGTCAGCACAGCTGTCGTATTTTGAATGTATCGTTCTCTTACACATTGCAGCGTCTGCGGATAATGATCCAGCCCCCGGTGATGGTGAAAGGAGAACGCCAGGAGAACGGCCCTGAGCAGACTGCAGCAGAAGCAGAGAACCTGGCCCCAGCCACTGAAGAGGCTTACATTTAAACCACGTTACATCTGAACCCCTGCCCGTCTCCGAGGCCAACTCTCTGCAGAAAACAACGTAATCAAGGTGAAGCGCAACCAAGGGATTCGTCCCAAATGGCACTGTATTCTCTATGTAGTGCACTACGTTTGACCAGGGCCCGTATGGGTAGTATTCCATATGGGTAGTATTCCATATGGGTAGTATTCCTTATGGGTAGTATTTCATATGGGTAGTATTCCATATGGGTAGTATTCCATGTGGGTAGTATTTCATATGGGTAGTATTCCATGTGGGTAGTATTTCATATGGGTAGTATTCCATATGGGTAGTATTCCATGTGGGTAGTATTCCATGTGGGTAGTATTTCATATGGGTAGTATTCCATATGGGTAGTATTTCATATGGGTATTATTCCATATGGGTATTATTCCATATGGGTAGTATTCCATATGGGTAGTATTTCATATGGGTAGTATTCCATATGGGTAGTATTCCATATGGGTAGTATTTCATATGGGTAGTATTCCATATGGGTAGTATTTCATATGGGTAGTATTTCCATATGGGTAGTATTTCATATGGGTAGTATTCATATGGGTAGTATTCCATATGGGTAGTATTTCATATGGGTAGTATTCCATATGGGTAGTATTCCATATGGGTAGTATTTCATATGGGTAGTATTCCATATGGGTAGTATTCCATATGGGCCCTGGTCAAAAGTAGTGCACTACATAGGGAATAGGGTGTCATTTGAGATGCAAAAAAAGGACTTTGATGTCTGATATCTAATCACCTACCTCCAGGGGAAACATGTGACCAACCTGATTACAATGTACTTTTCTTTTCTTTTCGTTCGTTTGTAAAAAGAAAACAAGATAGTTAGTATTTCAGAAAGACAAACTACCCGGCTGTTATTGTGAACGTTTCTATTTCATATGCAAACATTTTAGTATTTCTAAAATTGTTACCTAGAAAATTACTGTAATTTGAATTATAATTTAAATTTGGAGGCCCAATGTGATTCAACACTACCGTGCTAATTTAAGATATTTACTTAATTAATCTATTAAAAATACAATTATTGTAAAAAGGTAAGATATAGATTATAATCCATGTGTTTGTATTTGAAAGAAATACAGAAAAATTAATGGAATGTATTACAGTAAGTAGTCAAATAAATGCAATAAGGAAGTTGCATAGTGGAATTGAATATTGACCAATTATAAGCAATGACCATTATGGGAAAGTGCAACCTGCAAGGCCAAAATACCACATCTATGTATATAATATTATCACTCCTTTCCGAGACCCTGCCGTTTTTACCACTATTTTACCCTTACTTATTATCCGGGGCAACCTTTGAAAAGCACAAGGCCAGTATGGACCTCAAATCATCCCGTTCAGCGTAACTATTACAAAACGCAGATTAACATTACGTACGAGAGACTGTTAAATTGTATCTTTGTTTTCTAAAGAACAATAACTTTGTATGCGTCTGAAACAATTTTTTTTTTTTAGAATCATTTGTAGGACGTTTTCTACGTAAGGGTGAGATGGACAAAAAAATCATACGCATGTGAAAATGCCAAGATTACCAACCTATTGACATGAGAGGCATCCCTGACATCCCACCACTGCAGATAAGCATTATTATCACATAGGCAGCATTTGAGCAGTGACTGCCTGACAATCCCTTCTAACAACCCAGTCCAGTCCAGACCTCAGGATCAGTCGTGAAAAAGTGACCAAATTATCTGATGAAACTACCGAGACGAGAGCCACTCGTCAGTTGTTAGTCAGCCATTCTAGTCCAAGCCTAGTCTGACTGTGAAGGTTTCCAATGTCAGGTTCTGAGAGAGAAACCTTAGAGATGGACCACAGTTGAACCTGGTCTGAAACCATAGGCCAATATTACTACTGAAATTATACCTTTTTTTGTTAGTAAAAAAAAAGGAAACATGAATTATAAAGTTGTTTTTCAATATATATATATATATATATATATATATATATATATATATATATATATATAGTCCGATTATATATTAATTCCACAAATGATCAAGGTTGTATTTCTATAAGGATAAAGCTAGTTTGCTTCTATGGCAGCTGCAAGTGACCGGGATCTGGTTTAAATGAGTCATTTTATTCTCTGCAAAGATTATACAACTAAAAATGTGCAATGAATTTTGTATAAAGTTACCATACATGCAGTTTTCTGTCTTAAATGATGTTGTAAAACTCTACTGTGTAATACATGTAACTGTGAACGTCCGTATGACCAGGTTTTAGTCTAAATGTTGAAAAATCTGATATTATTTGCTGTTTTCTGCAATAATATGATTATCTCAGAAACTAAAGCACATATCTTTCTGAAATGTAAAAAATAATAAATGACAATAACAAATAATAGTATAATAATGACGTCATAGATACACTGTCTAGTCAAAGAATCTTGTTTTGTATATTTCTAACTGTTTCATGGGCCTAATGTAAAATATTGTATGTAAAATATATAATAAATGTCTTTAGATGGTGTTATATGAAAAAGCATGATTGTCATATATGTTATCTGCAGAAGTAAATAAAGAACTATAGATTATAACGTGTACTTTTTATAATGTATATTATTTGGGGGAAATATTTGCATATATATATTTTTTCGTTTTTTTACAGCTGATTTATTTCAAACAAATTTTATTTAAATCAGATTTCAAATGTTATTAGATATATTATTACAGAGAGTAAGTAGATATGTTTTATGTATCAGTAAAATGGTTATGACACTGAGACTGAGACAGTCTACTAATTGCTTTGAAGAATAACTGCATCTTGCACCTTAAAAGCACAGGGTATAAATGAGATCCACCAGACAATGTGCATTTTATTGGAACATGTCATTTGGATTTAAAATGACAGGTTTTAGTTTTTACAATGCATGAACAATGGGATTCTTCCACAGTTTGAGTTTGATGGAATCCTGCCTTTTAATACACATTATAAATGTATGTGATTTATATTGGCGTAATTGGGCGCCATTGGTGATCCCATCATATTACCTTTCCTTTGAATAATGAAATATTTTTTTTTAACATTAAATCATTTTGAGTGAGCACTAAATTTAGCAGGGGACGGCTATTGTAGACTTGCTTTCACGTCTGATTTCTTAGCATACTCCAAAATCACCATTGATACAACTCCTGCTTATCATTGAATCATCTTACCAGACTTGAGCAACCTTGACTTAATAACAAGATATTAATTCATTATTAATAAAGAACATCCATCCAGATGCACTATAGCCAGGGCTGGAATTGGGGGGAACGCAATTTATTTTGACATTTTAAGATGCTAGGTTTTACATTGTTCAGGTACCAGCCTTTTCTCCAATTGTTTCCCTGACAACATTACATTTTAGTCATTTAGCAGAGGTTCTTATCCAGAGCGACTTACAATTAGTGCATTCATCTTAAGATAGCTGGGTGAGACAACCACATATCACAGTCGTAGCAAGTACAATTTTCCTCAATAAAGAAGTTATAAGCAAAGTCAATGCTAAATGGTAAAATACATATTTTGTTATGTATTGTAACAGGTTAGTGCAGGAGTATATATATATATTTTATGAGTGAACAAGTATTTGATACACCGCCGATTTTGCAGGTTTTCCTACTTACAAAGCATGTAGAGGTCTGTAATTTTTATCATAGATACACTTCAACTGTGAGAGACGGAATCTAAAACAAAAATCCAGAAAATCACATTGTATGATTTTTAAGTAATTAATTTGCATTTTATTGCATGACATAAGTATTTGATACATCACAAAAGCAGAACTTAATATTTGGTACAGAAACCTTTGTTTGCGATTACAGAGATCATACGTTTCCTGTAGGTCTTGACCAGGTTTGCACACACGGCAGCAGGGATTTTGGCCCACTCCTCCATACAGACCTTCAGGTTTCGGGGCTGTCGCTTGGGCAATACGGACTTTCAGCTCCCTCCAAAGATGTCTTATTGGGTACAGGTCTGGAGACTGGCTAGGCCACTCCAGGACCTTGAGATGCTTCTTACGGAGCCACTCCTTAATAATAATAATAATATGCCATTTAGCAGACGCTTTTATCCAAAGCGACTTACAGTCATGCGTGCATACATAATTTTTTTTGTGTATGGGTGGTCCCGGGGATCGAACCCACTACCTTGGCGTTACAAGCGCCGTGCTCTACCAGCTGAGCTACAGAGGTCCTTAGTTGCCCTGGCTGTGTGTTTCGGGTCGTTGTCATGCTGGAAGACCCAGCCACGACCCATCTTCAATGCTCTTACTGAGGGAAGGAGGTTGTTGGCCAAGATCTCGCGATACATGGCCCCATCCATCCTCCCCTCAATACGGTGCAGTCGTCCTGTCCCCTTTGCAGAAAAGCATCCCCAAAGAATGATGTTTCCACCTCCATGCTTCACGGTTGGGATGGTGTTCTTGGGGTTGTACTCATCCTTCTTCTTCCTCCAAACATGGCGAGTGGAGTTTAGACCAAAAAGCTCTATTTTTGTCTCATCAGACCACATGACCTCCTCCCATTCCTCCTCTGGATCATCCAGATGGTCATTGACAAACTTCAGACGGGCCTGGACATGCGCTGGCTTGAGCAGGGGGACCTTGCGTGCGCTGCAGGATTTTAATCCATGACGGCGTAGTGTGTTACTAATGGTTTTCTTTGAGACTGTGGTCCCAGCTCTCTTCAGGTCATTGACCAGGTCCTGCCGTGTAGTTATGGGCTGATCCCTCACCTTCCTCATGATTATTGATGCCCCACGAGGTGAAATCTTGCATGGAGCCCCAGACCGAGGGTGATTGACCGTCATCTTGAACTTCTTCCATTTTCTAATAATTGCGCCAACAGTTGTTGCCTTCTCACTAAGCTGCTTGCCTATTGTCCTGTAGCCCATCCCAGCCTTGTGCAGGTCTACAATTTTATCCCTGATGTCCTTACACAGCTCTCTGGTCTTGGCCATTGTGGAGAGGTTGGAGTCTGTTTGATTGAGTGTGTGGACAGGTGTCTTTTATACAGGTAATGAGTTCAAACAGGTGCAGTTAATACAGGTAATGAGTGGAGAACAGGAGGGCTTCTTAAAGAAAAACTAACAGGTCTGTGA